GGGAGACCCGCGGGGCCGGCCGACGCCCCGGGCGCGCCGCTCTGGCAGGCTGGCCGCCTGCGAGCACCCCTGTTGAGGAACGCCCCTGAATTGTGGAGGGCGGCTGTCCTCTCCGTCGTACCCCCGGCCTTGTGGACGGCTCCCCCAGAGCCACGGCGCAGGGTGCCAGGAGGGGGTGCATCCCGAGCCCCTGAGGGCGTTTGAATGGAGTTTGTAAGGGAAATGCAGACCCACCCACGCGGTTTCCCTCCCCAAAACTCGACTTTATTGCTGGGGAGCAGGCCTGCAGGGCCCGGTGCCCCCGGAGCTGCTCTGCTCCCATCTGGTCCTGGCCAGACCCCCTTGGGCTGTTGGCTGGGCTTGCTTGCTGCCCTGGGGCTGTCCTCAGGGGCTCCCCCAGTCCTGTCTGGAAGGGACGGCCAGGCCCCACCCCAGCAGTCCAGCGCCTGCACATGGGCTCAGAGGAGGTCCCCTGTCCATCCAGGAGGACCTAGCGCACGTCTTGGAAGCCCATCCGAGCACCTGCCTTCTGGGGCTGCAGCTGCTGCAAGGGGTTAGAGGCCCAGAGCCTTGCGGGCACAACCTTGAGAGCCAGCCTGCTGGGGGCCACGGCTGCGGGCAGGAACCTCTCAGGGATCTTTGGCTGGCCCCCCTCCAGGCTGCCCAGAGACTTTAGATGGACCGGGCGGTACTAGTGCCCCTCGTCCCCCCAGGGCAGAGCCCAAGGCCTCTCCATCCACCAGTCCCTGCCTGGAGGGCTCAGTCTCCCTGCTCCCCAAGCCCTCACCTTTGCCTGGTTCACTCTTGACCAGACGCTCATTCAGGGCTTCCCAGCTACCTGTGACAGGTCCCTGTGCAGTGGGGGTCTGGGGGGGCTCTGTACTCACACCTGCTCACCAAGGGTCCCTGGACCTGGGGCTGGCCTCTGCCCACCTGGGCGCCGGTCCCCATCCATGGGGCCCACACTTGCCATTCTGTGTGGCTGCTGCTGGCCGCTGGAGAGCCCTGACCCCAACAGAGTAGGAGCTCTGGCATGGGCCCAGGTCCCAGCGAGGTGTGCGGGGCCAGTTGCATCCATGCCCAGCCCTGCTCACCAGGCACCAGGACACTGTCCATGATGTCCCACTGGGAAGTGTGCTATATGGCCATAGCTTGTGGCCCAGAAAGGGCCTCAGGGCCACTCGTTCCCATGGCCAAGCCATGCAGGGGGCATGCCGGGCCACGCAATCCAGCTGTGTGCCAGGTCTTCACTGTGGAAAGGGGGTATGAGGCTGGCAGGCTTGGGCCTCTCTCATGGGCTCAGGCACGGGCAAGCTGGTCCTCGTGCCACCGGCGCTTCTCCCCCCGTCCTCGGTTTCCTGTGGCAGCCTTTAGGCCAGCTCTCCCCAGGACACCCTGGGGGGCAAGACTGGGTGACTGTCCTCCTCCCCAGGCCCCCAAGGTGACCCCAGAACTCCAGGCCAGTGCTTCTGCCTAGCAGCCCCCAGGGCCACGGGCAGCTCCTTCAGCAGCCCCCCTCCCCCCGCCGCCCGGGCAGCAGGGAGGGGCCCCCGGGAGGGGGAGTGGTGTCAGGAGGCCAGTGAGGTGCTTCCCCCTAAGCCCAGTCCTGCCCTCCGCTCTAGCTGCGGTCATTATCTCCTGAGGCTGGCGTGCCCGGCCCAGCTCTGTGGGCCAGAGGGTCCAAGCAGGGGGTCCAGGGCACCCCAGAGCAGTGCTACCGTGCTGACCCTGGCCTGGTCTAGGACGTAGCTGCGTGGGTCCTGCAGGGCTTGGCCTGACTCAGCCTAGGGGTACAGCAGCCCCTCCACAGTGTGGCCTCTGGAGAGCATCACTGTTGCTTCCAGGACGCACAGCCTAGAGGGGGGTGTGGCAGAGGTGAGCAGGGAGCAGCGGGGCAGGCTGGCCTCTCTCTTGAAGGACTGGATGCTGGAGCCAGGCTGCCCAGTGGCTCTAGCAACAGGCCCAGGCGTTGGTACCCATAAAGGCAGCCCCTCCGTGAAGGGCTGGGCCCCTCCACAGCAAAGATACAGACAAGAGCAGTTCTCCCCACCGCCCCCACGGGAGCCCCTATCATTAGCGGGGCCTCATAACCTGCCTGCTCCCAGAGGCCCTGCTACCTCTGTCCCCCTCAGTACCCCCATATCCGGAACCCTCCACCCTGTACCTGATGCTGCTCCCTCATCAGCAAGGGGTCGTGACACAGGCGGGCCTAGTCGTGCAGCAGAAGGGCTGGGCCATGGCCTGGCTTGGCCAGGGCAGCCATGGGCCTCAGGGCAGGGCCCGTGGAGGGAAGGCAGCCTCTGCCCATTAGGCGCCGTTGCGCTGGACGCTCAGAGTTGGGGTGAGCCAACAGGCGTTATTCCCGAGTAGGAGTTGAATTGTGTCCCTCCCCCAAGTTCACATGTTGAAGTCTTAAGCCCCGAGCCCCTCCGAACGTGACCTTACTTGGAAGGTTGTTGCAGATGTAATTCGTTCGGACGAGGCCTCCTGACGTCCTGACTGGTATACCCTTATAAAAAGGAGGGATTTGGACAGACACACCCAGAGGTAAGACAGCATCTGCCAAGGGGAGAACAGACCCTTTCCTTCGTACCCCTCAAAAGGAATCAACCCTGCCAGCACCTTGACCTTGGATTTCCAGCCTCCAGAACCACAGTCAAGCTGTTTGTGTTGCTTAAGCCACTCAGCCGGTGCAGAACCAAGACAGTGCCTGAGTGTGCGAACCAGAGCTGGGGCGAGTGGGAAGGGGACCTGGGACCTCAGCGCCCCGCAGTCACCGGGGCCCCTCCTGTGTTGCAGGAGAGAGGAAGGGGAGGGGGGAGGCCCAGCCCAGATGGGACGCACCCATTGACCCCCAGGCTGTGTCTCCAGGTGGCGTTAAACTAGGACAGATGCCCGGCCTGGGCTTCAGAATTAAATTTCTTTACATCCTGCTCCAAATATATGTCTTCATGCACTGCATGGGTGGGAGTCATAAATAGCGATACTGAGCTCTTAATTGGGAGCTCTACTTGTTAGAGCAGGAGGAAGGTGCCCCCTTGAGCCTCTCTGTCCCCACCCCAACACAGCTTCAAGTTTGCCCAGTGCTGATGGCCACCAGGCCTGCTCGTGCCTCCAGCCCTGACCCTGCTGGGGGAGGGGACTTGAGGTTGTGCAAGAGATGGGAACCAAGTCTGGAAATTGGTCACCCTGCCTGCCCCGGCTTTCCTTCCTCTTCAAGAGGGCAGGTCTCTCCTGGATGGACCCTTTCCACGGGCAGGCAGGGCCCCAGTGCAGAGCCCCCAGGTTGTCCAGCTTGTCTGGGGTCACCTTTCTCCCCCACCACGACTCTGGGGTGAGCTATTCCCCAACCCCCCAGTCTTCTGACGCACCTGCAGGGCTTTGGCCTAGCTGTCCTCAGGCTACAGCCCCTCCTCACCGGCTCCACTGGGTCCCACCCAGTCTGCTCACCCGGCCCCCATGTGACCTTCAGTTCAGAGTCCTGCTCCATGCAACACCCCCCCCACCCAGGCTTCACCTCTACCTGGAACACAGTTGGGGAGGGAGAGGACCACCCTGAGAGCCCAGCCTTGAGTACAGCAGCCTGCCCGCCCCCCCAACCTGGCTCCCTGCACACCTGCCCCACCCCACCAGCCCACTGGGTGGAGCCCCAACCTTCACCCCACCCAAGGCTGCCTTGGCCCCCAGGACTGGCTGCCCGGCTGGTCATCAGGACCCCACCCCCTCCTCGGTCACTTCTGTCCCCTCCAGGGCACAGGGGTCCCCCCCAGGCCCAGGAGATCCCTGGTGGGAGCTGCCCCGTGGGCCCTCGGGCAGGCCCAGGCGTGGCTCTTCCCCTCCCCCAGGCAGCCCAGCTTCCAGGCCGGTTTCCCTGAGGTGGGCAGGGCCTGGGGCAGCCTCTGGCATGAGGCATTGGCCGCGGGGTCGGGGAGCTGTATGGCCTGCCCAGCACCCCCATACCTCTGTGCATGAGGCCGGTTCTGGGCTCACACTGTGGACTTGCCGTCTCGGGGTCACTGCCGGTGGCCCCAGCCCGAGCAGACTCAGGCATGCAGCTCCTGCCCTTAGCAGTCTGCACAGGAGTCCCTGGAGCTGTGGCCATGTTTGTCCACGTGGGGCTGCCCTGGCCTTCCCCCTCAGCACAGCTCTGCCAACGCCCGGATCCAGCCCCAGCTCTCCCCACTGCGCCGAGTCTCCCTGTTTCCTGGAGAACAGTCTCAGGGCCTCAGCCATGAGCGTGTGGGGCAGGTGGGGAAAGGGGTGCAGGGCTGGAGCTTCTCACCCCTTCCTGGGTTCCCTATGCCATGGAGGGGCAGAGGGCTCTCACCCCCACCAGACCCCATCCAGCCCACCTGCACTGCTGTGGGGCAGATGAGGGGCCACCGGTGATTGGTACCAAGCCTGCCTTGTGTGTGACCTGGGGGTCAGTGGAAGTCGAGGCAAGGCACACACATTGAGGAGCCCTCTGGCTGGACCAACAAAGCAGGGGCTGCAGAACCACCTCTGGGTGTTCCTGTCCCCTCCTCTGTAGCCTCGAAGACCCCTCCTGAGCCAGATGTGAGCCCCCTGGGCTGCATCCTCCTCTCACCTCCACATGGCCCCCACTGGCCTCTCCCCCCTCTTCTAGCCACCCCACCTTGGGGCCTGGCCACCCCCCACCCAAGGCTTCCCAGCACGACACTCCCGGCTGGTGGCTCTTGCTTCCAGGAACCCCACACGCTGCCCACTCCCTCTCCTGTCCCACCTGGGAGGAACCAGCCCCTCCTCCTGCCTAGAAGCCCCTTCTCCCAGGCCCCTTGCACAAGGGGTGAATCCCCCCAGAGGGGCCCTCCCAGGTCCCTGCC